TTTTTGGTGGTACTGGGGTTTGAAGTCAGGGCCCTAATGCATAACCTTGAGAGAAACCCTAAGCCAGAGCCACCTGCTTTTCTTGACCCACAGAAATGATGAGTTTACATTTGCATACAGTCATGGATCACAAAGTCTCATTTATCCTAATTCTAATAGAATAGCATGTCAGCTGCTTTTTTTTGGCTGTCCTGGGGTTTGAACTCGGGGTAAGCACTCTACCACTTGAGCCATATGCACAGCCTTTTTTCCTTTTTAGGTTATATTTCAGATAGGGTCTTATATCTTTTCCCCCTGGGGCCAGCCCAGGACTGTGATCCTCCTACCTGTGCTTCCTGTGTAGCTGAGATTACAGGCATGAACCACCACAACCAGCTTGCTTTTTGAGATGGGCTAAATTTTGCCTTGGCTTGCCTTAAACCATATTCCTCCTTATCTCTGCCTCCCAAGTAGCTGGGATTACAGACATGAGCCACCACAACCAACCTCAACTGCTTTATAAATTAATATTAACTGAAGTTTTGGACACCCTTTGAAGCCACTTTGTTTCCTCATTAAAGCAAATTCACTCATTTCACCAAGATCCTAGGTATACGCATTTCCAATATCCATCCTAAATATAAAAGGGAAAAAAAATCAATACATTTTTATTCCTGTTGCCAAGTTGTTTTGGGCCCTCCTGCACCCTGGACAGAGATTTAAAAGTTTGGGAGACTCACTCGTTGGTCAGCCTTCCTGCATTGGCTTGGAATATTACTCAGCGATCAAGAGGCCTGAAAGTGTTAGTAAATATGTGGTTAGTCAGGCCCTGGCACCAATTATGCATTGTTTACATTTACTTGATTTAAAGCAGTTTATGGTCCCAAATATGATTTGAAACATTCTTCTAAAAATTACTCTAGAAAAAGGAAAAGAAAGCAAACTTTTTAGCTCAATGACTCTAAAGGGATGCACTTCGATGCTCTAGATCTCCCACTCCACCAACACACTAAAAACCTGGCAGAGGGCCAATCCTATCCAGCTCTGTTGGAGTCTCTCACTCCATGATAGACCTTTCCAAGGACGGCTTCTATAAATTCCTAGTTAGAACTACTTCTTGTTCATGATCTGTAACTTCCATCTGAAATTCCCACTCTCGGGCTGGCTTGCCCCAGTCTGCCTCTTGTCAAGGACCAGTAAACATTCACATGTTCATATACGTAAGCCTTTAAGTCTGTTACATGTTAGAGACGAAATATCTCAGCTTATCAGAAATTTGTGTAAGTTCAAGAGTAAAAGTTAAGTGCACATAACTGATAATATCTGTTTTGTTTTTTGAGGGGACTTTTTGCTTTTTAGTTCTTGGCTGTATCAAATTGATAAGGAACTATCATAGTAGCTAGAGTGACGCCTGAAGCACAGGAGGGAGGTTTTTGGGCATTTGTTTCTTCCATCTCCTTCCTGCCACACAGAAGCAGAGGGCAGTCTGCACAGTCGTCCCAACCTGAATGCAGCCAGTTTTGCTTGATCTTGGAAACTAATCAGGGTAACTCCTGGTTAGTATTGAACAAGAGAAGCAAGGGGGAAAGGAGGAAGGAAGGAAACCATCCTTAGGCAGAATTTTTCCTGAAGTGAGATAGTCATGGGCCAAACATTTGACAATACTTAAGTTTGTCTTTGACCTTTCATCATCCCTGTTCCACCTACTCATGTCTATCTCATTCATTCATTCAACAAATATTTGTTGAGTAATACCTAGGTTTCAAGTACTGTGTCAGATGCTGAGGAATCTAAAAATAAATAGTGGTGAATAAAATAGACAAAGTCTTTGTGTTTATGGAGCTTACATTCTAGTTTGGGGAGATAGATAATAAACACATAGTAATCAGTCGGTCACTATGTGCAATGAAAAATAACACTCAGCAGTAGGCATGAGAGTGCTGGAAGGCAGAGTGTGGGAGATATTATTTATCTAGAGTGGGACAGGCCTCAGCATAATGTTTGAAATGAGATCTAAAGAAAGTGAGGTAGCCATGTGGAGCTGGGCACAGTGGCTCATGCTTGTAATTCCAACTATTTAGGATACAGAGTTTGGGAGAACTGTGGTTCTGGGCCAGCCCAGGTCAAAAAAAAAAAAATTACTGAGACTCCCATGTCAACAAACAAATCAGGTATGGTGGCTCATGCCTGTAGTCCCAGCTATACAGGAGGCATAGGAAGGAGGATGAAAGCCTGAGGCTAGCCCTGGCAAAATGCATGAGAGTCTATCTTAATAACCTAAGGCTTAGAGTAATTCTTGCTTAGCAAGTGCAAGGCCCGGAGCTAAAAAAAAAAATCCCAGTGTTGCTTTAAAAAAAAAAAAGGTATTTCAGGCATAAGAAATAGCAAGTGCAAAGGCTTTTTGCAGAAGCTGTTAGAACATGTAATAGCAAGGGGTATAGTGGTGGTGTATTTGAAATGAAAGGAGCAATGAAAACAGTGGTAAGAGCTGAGGTCAGGGAAATCAAGATCTTCTGGGCCATGGACTACTGAGTAGAGGAGTGACAATCTCATTCTTGTCTAGGAGAACCATTCTGGCTGCTATATCAGGAAGAGAAAGTAGAAGTGGAAAGGAGGTTGTTGCAGCAATCCAGAAAAAAGATGATGTAGCACTGGGGTTGGGAGAAGAGATAAGTATTTGGGAATCAGGATTTTTTTTTTCAGTACTAGAGTGCTAACTCGGGGCTTCTGTTTGCTAGGCAAGTGCTCTTCCCTTGAGCCACACCTCCATCTCTTTATGCTTTAGATAGGGTCTTGCATTTTTCCTTGGGGCCAGCCCGGACTGTGATCCTCCGTCCTCTGGTTTCCTGCATAGCTGGGGTTACAGAAGGAACTCACCACACCTGGTTTATTGGTTGAGATGAGGTCTCGCTAACTTTTTACAGGGGCTGTCCCCAAGCTATTATCTTCCTGACCTTCACTTCCTGTGTAGCTGGGATTACAGACTTAAACTCAGCAATGTACAGGTGGAATTTGAAGCCATGAGATCAGATGAAATCATTGAGGAAGTGAGTGATAAGGAATGCTATGATAGGGCTGGGCATATATAGCTTAGTGGTATAGCCTATGCACAGGCTCTGTTATTTCACACTAGCAGTGATCCTAATTTTATTAGAATGTGATCCTACAACAGGGGAATCTAAGCACCTAGGGAAGCAAGGGTAGGCACCTGGGGGGTCCATTTGGTTGAAGGTGTTTTGGAAAACTGCTTGGACGAGGCTATTGGAAAGTATGATAAAGAGATACTCTCTAAAGAGACCACTTCTTTGAACAGCTGTAGTAGCGATCCATAATTGGAGGAGATTTTTGCCCCTCAGAGACAATATTTGGAGATATTTTTGATTGTCATAATTGGAAAGGGAGGTCTAACTGGCATCTGGTGGGCAGAAGCTGAGTGTGCTACCAAGCATCCTACAATGCACAGGACAGTCCCCACAGCAAGAATTATCTAGTCTAAATGGCAATAGGCCCAAGGTTGAGGAGCTAAGCTAGAGGCAGAAAAAATTGTTGGGAGCTTGAGGAAGCTTCTTGACTTATTACTTTGAAATTAAGGGTTTAGAAAATGAAGTCACACACTAACCTTTTGTTCCTTTTTGTGTTTGGCTAACAGTTTCTTTTACTTGCAGTTCACAAATTTTCATGGCATCTTTATGGAGGAATGTGGGCCATGAAGACAGTTTGGTTATGTAGATCTGGTTGGAACTGGTTGTCCTTCTGTACTCCAAGTCTACAGAGGAATATTTGACAACAGGATTAAAGTCTCTATGGCATGGGGCAGAGTTCTGTTCTTGGCTCTCTTACTAAACACTTACAAAGAACTTGAATAAAGACCTGGATAGAATGCTGATCAGATTTGCAGGTGACGATCCAGGAAGGGTAAGTATCCCAAAAGATACTGACCACCTGCAACAATGTGATTCAGAGCACCACAGTTCACCAGGAACACTAACAACCCATATGGTGTCCAGAGGAGAGGAGGGAAAGAATGTGAAAAAACTGGAAAGGACAGACCTGGAGGATACTGGGAAGGACAATTAAAAAAACCTCAGAAACAAAGCTCACAGTGGGAGGAAATAAAGACATGACACCAGAAGGCTTTGAGAGGGAGGCCTGTCTATGCAGAGTGCACTCTAGGGGAAACTCAACAGTAGACTTTGGCTCAATAAAGAGGGGATGATTAACCAACATTAGAGCTATTCAAAGACAGGCCAGGAAGCCTCAGGAAGTAAAGTTCTTGCTTTCTGTTCAAACAGACCTCGCCGTCCCGGTGGGCTCTGTCTTCAGACGGTGGTCTCGCGTGGGTGTGGGGGGCGCAGGTACGGTTGGCCTCCGTGACGCTATCCCCACTCTGCAGGGTTTAGAGAAACAGCTGTGGCCCTTGGCATCCTGCCTTGGTAGCTTTTTGGAGTCATCTGTGGAATCAGGGAGTTGTGTGGCACACGACCCACTCCAGGTGTTTGCGTCATAGTTGTTTTTAAACAAGACTGCGTCACGTGCCTAACCAGACACGAGGAGTCTCTTCAAGGGGAGTAGGATTTTCCTCAGGAGATGACAGTCATCCAGAGGTAGAAGGGCCCAAGAGCCATAGAGCTCGCTTTTGACTCTGCCTCAGGGAAACATACCGTCCCTACATCAAGAACCCGGCGGGCTCGGCCCCCAAAGAGATCCCACCTTACTGGTGAGTACAAGGTTCGCATTTTATAGTGAGAGGCGCGCGAGCGCGCGCGCCCGACGGCCCGGAGGTACAGAGCCGACCAATGAGCGGGCACTCTCTTCGCGCGGGCTCCGGATTGGACGAGCCGCGCCAGCCTCTCAGCCTGGCAGTGGGCGGGGCGCGCCGGGGAGGGACTGGAGTAGGCGCGTCCGCTGCGCCAGAGTCCCGGGGGCGCGTGCGCGGTCTCGCGGCGGCCGCGGGGGCTGGTCTCGCGCGGTCTCGAGGTGGAGTTGCTGGCGGCGGCGGCGGCGGCGGCGGCGGCGGCGGTGGCTGCGGCGGCGACGGCGGCGACGGAGGAGGCTGGCGGTGGGGAGGGGGCGGAGACTAAAGATTCTGAGGTGGGGAATCGGGAGTTTCTGGATTCTTTATCCGGTATTTTGAGGGCCGCCGGCTATTTCTTTTGCAGTGTTGAGGAAGCTGCTGGGGCGGGGGACCCCGGATTGGCGGCCGTCGTGGCGTGGAGGTAAGAGACGGACCGGTGGCGGCTGGGTTGTGGAGATCTTAATCAACAGGTCCCGGGGAGCGCGGCGGGGGAGGGGCGGCAGGGGGCGTCCCCTCCCCCACACGCCGCGCGCGGGGCCGCGGCGGGACCCCGGGCTCTCCGCGGGCTGTCCCCAGCAGCTGGATCGGTGGCCCGGCGGGTTGCGAGCCCAACCTTTGTCCCTTGAAGGAGCGTTGTGTGCGCTGTGCCCGCTCCCCGCGCCTTGGCCAGGCACGCATCTCGGCGCGGGTTCCTGCGGGCCCGGTCTGAGTCGTGGGGGGCGCGGCAGGGCGTTCGCGACTTCGGGGACTCCCTGTTGGCGGGGTCGCAAAATCTGCGGTGGGGAGAAATACTTTCCTTTAGAAGACGGAATGCGGTCGGGGCTCCTGCGCCTGAGTCACCTCCTCGAATTCTGCTACTTCGCGTTCCAGGGAAGCAGTTCTTGCTTCCTTGTGACTACTTGTAACGAAAAAGTCTTATTTCGCTGGTGATTTTTTTCTGATCGTTTGCTCCGAGTTTGCCAGTTGAACTTTGAAGCCTGTAAATTGTCGTGAGCTACAGTGAAAGGCGCTTTCAACGATCTTTGTTGTAAATTATGTAACTTCATAGTGGTAACTCACCTTCTGTTTAACTGATTGACACATCGTAATGTGAATGGAGATTAAGTTTCAGTCGGAGGTTTTTTTCAAGGCAGTTTACGCTAAAATTAAAATCTGATAGCTAAGAGGTTTTTAGTAGTATAAATAGTGTGTGTTTTGTCTGCGTACTCCTTGAGAACTTTTAAGAATTTAGATTTGGAAAGCCTGTATAACAACTTTTGGAGTTTTGATTTGCCTGACAAGGTGACAGGTGTTCATATTTCTGAGTTTAAAAAAAGTATCATGTTTTAATGACAGCGTTTTAATTATGCTTTTGAAGTTAATAACCTATTAAATCCTGCAAAAGGAACAAATGACGTGATGGTTATTGGTGTCTTTGAAGTATAAGTATTGGTGGTAATGAAAATTATTAAATAAGCTTTCTTGAATATGAGCTGATTTTTTTTTTTATGAGCCCTGTGGACATAACATATTGCAAGTTTTAAAAGGCCATCTAAGAGCTGGGCGCTGGTGGCTCACGCCTGTAATCTTAGCTATTCTGGAGTCAGAGATCAGGAGGAAAGGGGTTGGAGGCCAGCCCAGGCAACTAGTTCATTCTCAAAATAACCAGAGCAAAAATGGACTGGAGGTGTGGCTCAAGTGGTAGAGTACTTCCTTTACAAACATAAAACCCTGAGTTCAAATCCTAGCCCCACCAAAAAAAGTCTATCTAAACTGTCGTAGCAGGCTGACATTATTAAAATGTAAGAGCTTTGTAAATGAAATAGGCAAAACTATGAACAGCGATTCATTATTTTATCTGTTTAAAACAAGTAGATCTTAACCGTGAATTATTTACTTGAAAGACTTCTGGCTAGACAGCCTTGACTAAGTAAAGGTGGACTCATAATATTAACTTGTTTTAGAATGTTAAAATGGGAGAGTTTAGATAAATTCTACCTTAGGGCGGCTAAACTCAGAACAGTGGTTGTTTGTATGGTCTTCCTGAATTATAATCTTGATTAAAAATCTTATCACAACCCACATTATTAAGGATAACTTCTTTTACTTAAAGTCAGTTGACCATAGATGTTAATCACATCCACAAAATAAACTCATGTTTGACCAAACTGGGCACCATAGTCTTGCCAAATTAATACATCACAATAATCAGACTTAAATATTTAAGATAATATTTCTATACTACAGCTGCATATTGAATTCATAACTAGTGATTAGGTTGTCTTCTGTAATTTGTCCTCAAGTAAAATTCAGTTCTATCTTAATGTACACTAGTGGAAATGGTACAATAAGTATGTTGAAACTTTCTGGGAGGAAAAAAAAAACTCGTCACAGACATTCCAAGAAATTTGGTCTGTTATGCGTATCAGTCCACTAAGATGTCCTTGTTCTCTGATTTCAGGGCACCTAGAAGAAATTATATACTGATGTATGTGCTTTAGAGTATAACTTTTTACTATATACTTATTGAATCATTGAGTTAGACGTCATCTTAGTAGTTTAACCTGTACCCTTTATAGGAAAAAAGAAAGTGAACGTCATAAACGTGGAGTGGACCATAGTGGAACACCATCACTATCTAGCAGTCAGACTATGAGCCACTTAACATCTCTAAACCTCATTTTTTCCTGGCAAATGAAGAAGTTAGACTATGTAAGATTACTTACTTATAAAAGCTAAAAAGCTTTTCTCATTATAATTTTAGTGATCTTCTCATTGTATCTCTACTTTTTTTTTTTTTTTTTTTCCTTAACTCAGGGTCTTCGTGTGTACATGCCCAAGCTGACCTTAAACTTGCTATGTAGTCCAGACTGGCCTCAAACTTCCTATCCTCCTGCTTTAGCCTCTAGAGTGCTGAGATTACAGATGTGTACCACCAGGCCCAGGCTTCTCACTATCTTGTTGTTAAACCACTAAGTTACTTTCTCCAAATCATATAAGTAACTGGCAGGGTATTTTTCTTTTTTTTTACACATTTTTCCCTATTTTATGGTAACAACTAACCTCAGTTACTCCTCTACCGAAGGGTAGTTTCCAGTTTTTCAATTTTGCAAACAATGCTTAATAAATATCTTTGTGCTTGTCTTCTTGAACACATGTGGTTTCCTAGAATGCATACCACCTGTTTGGGGAATTTGCTGATAATAGGTTGATATGTGTTTTCAGCTTACCATCTATAGCCAAATTATCCTCTACAGGTGAATGAATGGCAATAGTTTCATCTTTGCCACAGTTGACATTGTCAGATTTTAAAATTTCTGCCAGTTTGGATGAGAAATTATATTTCCTGTCTTCGAAAAAGTTTTTAACTTTGTATACTACCACAGTCAAGATACAGAACAGTTTTATCACTTAAAATTCCCTTGTACTGACCTTTTTTAGTTAGCCTTCCCTCACCTGTCACCCCTGGCAACCAGTGATCTGTTGTCCCTCCAGTAATTTGTCTTTTCTTGAATACCACTTAAATAGAATTATATATTATTTAGCATTTTGTGTCTGTGAAGTTTTTTTACAGTTTGTTAATCCTATGGTAAAAAATTCACATAAACACTACAGATAAAAGTATTGCAGAATCTTTACTCCTTTTTTGCCAGCACCAGCATTGGCCTTTGCAGTCCTCTTGACTTTCTGTACTCCATTCTTGCCTTCCTTTCACTGTTTTATTGAGGTCTTAAATGTGGAATGTTTCATGAGTTTGCATGTCATCTTTGCCATGCTAATTTCTGTATCATTCCAATTTTAGTGTATATGCTATTGAAGTGTCTGCTTTTTTTCATTTAGCATGCTATGTTTGAGGTTCATCCATGTTGAATATGCCCACAGTTCTTGGATCTTATTGCTGAATATAGTATTCTTTTGTATCTAACCACCAGTTGAAGGACACTTGGGTTGTTTCAGGTGTTTTTATGACTATGAATAAAGCTGCTATAAATCTGTATGAATAGTTTTTTGTGTGAACATGTCTTCATTTCTCTTGTAGGTGGGATTGCTGGGTCATATGGGCCAAGTGTATGATTAATTTTATTTAAAAAAGAAACCTATTTGTGATAGGCAGAATAATCACTCTCAAAGAGATACTAATAACTAGAATCTGTGAATATATTTAGCTATGTGGCAAAATTTAATTAAAGTTGTTAATCAGCTGGCTTTAAAATAGACTATCCTGCGTATCTAGGTAGACACAGGTATCACAGAGTCTTTAAAAAGGAAAGAGAAAAGGCAGAAGAATAGAGTCAGAAAAAAAGATGCAGCAATGGAAGCAGGATCAGAAAGATTCATGGAGGGATGGTGGCTTTGAAGATAGAGGAGAGGAAGCCCCAAGCCAAGGAATGTCGGTGGTCTCTAGAAGGTGGAAGTGGTAGAAAATGGATTAATCTTTAGCACCTGCAGAAAAGAAAGCAGCCCTGCCAACACCTTGATTTTAGTCCAGAGAGATCTGTGTCAGACTTCTAACTTCCAGATTTGTAAACTCATAAATCTGTATTGTTTTAAGCTATTAAGTTGGTGGTAATTTGTTATAGCAGCGTAGGAAACTAATACAGTATCAAACTGTTTTGACGATGACTGAATGACTTTGCATTCCCACCAAGAATGTCTGAGAGTTCTAATAGTTTTACATCCTTATCAGCGCTTATTAGCCATTCTGATAGGCATATAATAGTATCACATTGTGGATTTTAATTGCAGTTCCCTTATGACTAATAATGTTGAGAATTTTTTCATGTGCTTCTGTCACCTTATGTCATTTTTGTGAAGTGTCCAAGTCTTTGGCCCATAATTTATTTAGAGACAGTTTCTTACTGTGTTGCCTAGTAGTTTGGCCTTAAATTCCTGTGCTTAAATGATCCTCCTGCCTCACTTTCAGAAGTCCATATGCATGCACCAGCTCACTTGGCTTAGATTGTTTTCTTCTTACTGAGTTTTGAGAGATTTGTGTGTGTGTGTGTGTGTGTGTGTGTGTGTGTGCACACGTGTGTGCATGAGTGTAGGAATTTAATCAGGACCTTGTGCATGCTAGGCAGGCACTCTGACACTAAGTTATATCCCCAGCCTAATTTTTGAGAGTTCTTTATAGTCCTTTGTCTTTTGCCAAATAAGTGGTTTGCCAAGTCTGTGACTTACATTTTTATATTCATAACAATGTCTTTTAGCCAGCTGCCAATGGCTCACACCTATAATCCTAGTTACTTGGGAGACTGAGATTGGGAGGGTGTGGTTCAAGGCCAGCCCAGGCAAAAAGCAAAACCTTATTTCCAAGATAATGAGAGCAAACAGGGCTGGAGTCATAGGTCACGTGTGGCACACATGCCTAGCAGGCTTAAAGTCCTGAGTTCAAATCCAAGTACTGCCAAAATAAAATGAAGAAGCAACAGAGCTGAGGAT